ACAATAAAATTGCGATTCTACAGACGGAGATTTATCGCGATGTTATCGAAAAAAATCGTCATAGACTGAGATAAAATTTTGATTTTATAGAACGCGATTTTACAGAGATAAAATTGCGACAAGATCGAGATGCTGATGATCCTAGCGATTTTATCGCCAGAAAAACGTAAAAAAATCGCAACTTATATTATAATTTTTTTTTACCAATTTCAAATAGTTTATTGGCTAATCCCACGCTTTTTACCCCAGCCCCAGGTGACCATTGCCTGAGACCATCAAACTCAGATCTCCTGGCCGGGAATCGAACCCGGGACCTCTTTGTCATAGGGCCAGTGCTACAACCACTACACCACAGGAAGCCCGATTATTCGCGAAATATCGCGATTTTTCTGTCGATAAATGCTACGTGGGACCAGGGTTTTGAAAATAATTGTTAAGAAAACTCAAAATGCGACTTGGGATTTCTTAAACAATTTTTTGTAGATACTATTCAAGCTGTAACTGGGACGGAAGGACGGAGGTTTGGCATGGCGAAGTGCTTGCGCTTGACAGGACGACGGACAACTGATCTGTTATGTGCATGCAAAGAGCACGCTGCCCAAGTACGGTTAGTTCTCGAGATTTCGTGCTGAAAATTGGCCTGATTCACCCTTTTCCTGGGTAATTACCGGCTCTTGCTCCTGCCTCGCCGCTCCCCGCACCCCGCGCCCTCCTCCTCCATCCTCGATCTTCACTCCTTGCTCTCAGAGTCATGCCTCCAGTGTCCTCGGCAAAACCAACCGTTGTCTAACAATTAAAGCTTCCGTTGGCTCTGACTTGGCCAGTCATTTTCCGAGCTCCGCGAGTCCGGGCCTCAGACGCACGGTGGATCCAGTCATTGAGAGAGCTCGGACATAAATTTTTGACTAAAACTGCAAATTTTTATGTTTACTTCGTCACATTTTAATTTTTAAGGGGTGTTTAACGAAGAAAATTTTACGAGGAAACCAATGAAACCACTTTTATAAACTCAAAGTTTTTTTTTTTTTTTTTTTTTATTGCTGGCTTATTGACTTCTGTTCCGTCAGAAACCTACAGCCATCTATAGAGCAGATTTATTGTCCATAGACATCAGGGCGATAGGGACATCCATGCTCCAGGCTTTCCAAATTTTCAGGGACTAAGGTCGGATAGAACCTGTTCCTGCAGATTTATTCGTCAGTTCCGTAAAAATTTAACGCCACTACCAGGATTCGTACCCAGGATCTATTGACCCACAGTCAGACGCGCTGACCACTTGGCCAACCTGATCGGCCAACCTGATTGGCTAACCTCAAAGTTTTGTATAAACGGAGTTATAAGCTTTGGAAGTTTTCAAATTTCGTCTGACCTCTCCTATTGACTCGGTCCACTGTGAGACGCAGGATCGGAGAACTTGAGAGGGCAGAAGTTGATGCTCCCACAGAACCATTCTTCCTGTTTCTCCCGTAATTCGTCATTCTCCAGGTGAAGAAACGTATATCCATTGCAAGTTTGCAAAAGTTACTTCCTTGATTCAATTTTACCCTCGAAAATTATTGAAATTTTTCCCCAGGATTTTGCTTATTTTCAACGCTAATTTGTGGAAAAGTCTGTGAAACTTCCGATAAAAAATGTCCAGTTACTTTCTAAGTAAAAATATTAATTGAATGAAAATTTTCCATCGTGGATTGTAATTATGTGGTCCATTTCTTTATTGGTTGATCGCTTCTCCGCGTTAGACGGGAACTTAGAGCACATAGAACCGCAATGGGAATGAGGAGCGGACGCCACTTTTAACCATTTCTCAGCCACCAAATTTCAAGACTCTTGTGCCGCACCGGGTCGCCATTTCGATAAACTCGATTGTTCTCGATACATGGGTGCCCAGTCATCCGATGTGAACAAAGAGGGTATAATTATAACATATAACAGTAGATATCGGTTACTACGACAACGGTTAATACGACATATCGGCTAATACGACGAAATCCCGTGACCCCTTGAATGTCGTATTAACCGATATCTACTGTATAAATCGCCATTTTGGATGGAAAATGTATCGAAAAGTTGACCAAATCTCAGCGCACACCGGGCTTGGAACTCGTCAATTAGAAAACGACCCCAGTTTGCCTCACTATATCGCCCCCTCTCGGCCAAAGTATCACAAAAGCCGTGCGACGTTTCAAAATTTCCGCCGCCATTTTATTTTTATATAGAGAAATTATTCAATAAATCTGTCCGAAAATTTCACTGGGTTTTCTTCGTGCTGCCGTTAAAATTCAGTGAAATTTTCGAAAAGATTCAACCAAAAATTTCTTCGTAAAAAAATAAAATGGCGGCGGAAATCTATAATCGTCGCATGACGCTTGTAATACACTTTGGCCGGAAGGTGACGATACTACGACTTGATGAAGAGCTTGGGGACAAGACGGTTAAGAGCAGTTTTTGAAAAAATTTAGGTATTAATGATTTCAAGTAAACCTAGTCTTAATTCATATTCTGTGATATATATAACTCATATAACTGCACTAGTGCGCCTTGTCCTCCACTCCTCGAAGCCCGATCGGCGCGCGGCGTATAACGCATATTAGCGCCTACAAGAGTGCAGGAATACTTCACGCATTGCGCCTAACGCAGTGCAAACGCTAGTTGGCGCGGAAAGCATATTAGCGCCTACAAGAGTGCAGGAATACTTTACGTATAGCGCCTAACACAGTTCGATCGCTGGTCGGCATGAAACGTATGTGGGCAATTCTACGAAAACCGTCCAGTTCGACCCAAAAAAACTAAAAATTGAACTTTATTATTTTTGATCGAATGAAGTATTAGAGATATAGTTTTGACGTACCCACATATAATAATCATCAATTTTCATTGCGAGAATACCCTAAAGCCAGCAGAGAAGACACTAAAGTCAAAACTACTTAAAATATTTGGCGAACGAATTTTGATAACAAAGCCTAGATTAAATCCTCCTATGTTCTCTATGAACGGGTATACGAGTAGCCGCTTTGATTCTAGGTTACCCTAATCCGAACTGGATACGGCAGAGGGATATGTTACGTGAGGACGTTTCAAAGGTGGACGAGGAGAAAAGTTACGTAAGGGGAGCGGACTTGAGACCGGTCTAGAAAGAAGGATGTGAGCGGAAGGACGCACGGCCGTTAAGCCGAAAGGTGCCATTTCCGCGGTGCAGCGCATTGCACCGGCACCGGCACCGACCTGTGCGAGTCCGGACTGAGTCAGCGGCGAAGCGGCACTCTCTCAAGCTGACTCTGGCAGGGCGGATCAAGGTTAGTAAGCTGCAGCTTTACAGGTCACCGAGGAACCGTAGCTGTCCGTCGTCGTGGCACTGACCTCCGTCCTGTCCGTAAGCACCCTCTCCGGCTCCGCATACATTTAACGCTCAGATCACTGGGATGCGCTTCTTTCAGCCACCAATTTCCCAAGTTGGCAACCCCTTATTTAAGGATAATCCCCCCTCTATCTCCCAGTGCTGCCATTTCCCGGTATTAATTCCAAAATTCGGAACTTTTTCCGGAATCCTCTGAATCCCCGGAATTTTCAGCTATTTTCGGAATTTTCGCGAAATTTGCGGTTTTTCGCTGGTTTGACCATTTATTTCATTAAATTTAGGGACTTTTTGATCAAATTTGACGGTCCTCGGATTTAAATCCGGGCGTATTTCGGAATGTTATTGGTACTTTGGCAAATCGGAATATGTTCCCGGAAATCGGATTATGTTTCCGGAAATTGGATTATGTTTCCAGAAATCGGATTATGTTTCCGGAAATCGGATTATGTTTCCGGAAATCGGATTATGTTTCCAGAAATCGGATTATGTTTCCGGAAATCGGAATTATTTCGGAATCTTTTGATAAAATAAAATGATAGCACTGCTTCCTCCCCTTACACCGCTGTTGTAATGTGCGCTCTTATCCTCTAACACGTAAAAACAAAATGGAGTAATACTCTCTTCGGCCTCCCCCTCCTCCCCCCTAGAGGGTTATGTAATTTAGGGACGGTCCCTTAGTTTGTAGCTTCAGAAGAATCTGTTTGGCCGCTGTATGATTCTTGGTTTTAACAAGCATCGTCAAGTGCAAAGATAAGGAGATCAAAAGAATAAAACATGAAAAAGAAGAGAGAAAGATCGGAAGAAAGAAGTATATTCTATCTGAAGGACTGCAGAGACTGTTCATCACAGCTTTCAAGTGATAATTGTTAGAGTCAGACACCTTGATCGAAAAGCGTTGGAATAGAAACCCACTATAAAACTACTCGATAGAAGGAGAGATGATCTTAGAGGATCGAAATTGTCGAAAATTCTCAAAATTGAAAAATATTGCTCTTTCAGAGGAAATTTGTATGGGTCTTGAGACAATTTGCCGCTATAAATCTGCAAAAAATTTGGGTAAGAAAGTTACACGGTTTTTAGAAATTGAAATAACCATAGAAAACCTACTTCTGGCTGAAAGATGGTCCCACGTGTATCCTGTGGTTTAACCCTGTGGCATGAATCTTGCTGAGAAATTTTTGCTTAAAATAACGGTATAGTCAAAACAAAAACTTTTAACTCGGACTCGCTTACCAAAAATTGGCTCGATGTTCCAGCTGTTGATGACATGTACCTATGGCAGCATAGGTAAAACGCCGTATGAGCCTTCAGGCGTTGCAACATTTCCTTCATTACAAAGCGAATTAACTGGGGAAATTGTGAATATTTTTCTTTACAATATTCAGATAATTTAGTTCGAAATTTGATCTAGAACATCTGAAAATTTCAAGAAGAAATATGAATAAGTTTCCTCAAAAATACAGATTTTATCTGGAGAAACTCGGCTACTCCTGAATGTTCATACGGCGTTCTTCCTTAGCACGACAGTATGTTTATGCGTTCATTATGATAAAACGAGGCTTTACGGATGATTCTGCACTGCAACATTGTTCACTGTGGAATCGATTTGCAGAGAGAAAAAGCAAAATATATAGAAGACACTCACCTAGTGTTTGAATAAATTGAAGACAAAGAATTACGATCAACCATGGCCACGCGTTTAATGTGCTGAATTCTTTTTTCCGGACCATATTGATGTGTGATCTGCAAATCAAACCAAAATAGTTACCAGTTAGAAAGAATAGAAACAAAATATAGCCCTCAAAATATCGAGGAAAAAGATGTAAAAGGTACAATATTGTGGTTTATCCTTCATGAAACCCCTGGTAAAAATTGGCAGTAGAATCTGTGTTCCAAAATACTGCAGACCTACAGCCGGCTGTAAGATTTCCAAAAGCTTCTATAGCCGGCTATACACAATTGCTTATAGCCTTTTATAGCCGATGGCGACTAAGCAACAGTCAGGCGATAAAGTGTATGTTAAACGTTACTAATCACGGATGCTAGGACTTAGTGAGTTTTTGGACTACTGCTCTTTTTTTGGGCCGCAGTATCTTGATTTATTTTGCGAGGAAAGCTCCGTACTTTTGATGGATGCCTGCCATTCCTAATATATTAGAACGCCTTCAGTTTCGTATGATACTGTGCAATACCTCTGGTGTGAAATAGTTGCTTCAAGCGCCGTGGCATGCTGCGGCGCGGCAGGCGAGCCGCTAGCGGGAAACGCGCTTTGGCGCCTACAAACCTAACAGGGATACTTCACGCGTTGCGCAATGCGTGAAGTATCCCTGTTAGGTTTGTAGGCACCAGTGCGTCGCGCGTCGCCGCTCCGCTTTGTGTTAGGCTCTAATATTTAATCTGGCGGAGTCAGCGTTATTCAACTCATGATTTTGAAATGTTTGCACATCCTGTATGGATTATTCTCATTTTAATTGATGAAAAAAAAAAATATGTATTAAAGGAAAATATAATGTGTGTTTTATAAATATTAAGGTGGTTCCGTATCAAACTTAATGATTTCCAAAGCACACGAATGTCTACACAATTTCTTATAGCCTTGTTTAATCGATGGCGAAATTGCAACAGCCAGACGATAAAGTGTAAAGCCCGGCGATAGGAACTATAGCCCGGCTGCATAATTTTTTTTTGCTTCGTATAGCCCGGCCGTATGATTTTCTCCGCATTCTACAGCCAGCTATATGATTTTCTGTAACCTTCTTTAGCCGGCTATAAGAATTCCTATGGTATTTTGAAACGCAGCTCTTACCGCCAATTTTTACTAGGGACGCAGTGATATTACGTGCGTTTTCTTGCGTGAGATGATATTTTCAGAGATGAAGTGTTATACTGGATTATTGGGCTATTTTAAGCCCCTAACTTAACAGATTAAAAGTCCAAAGGCCTTCCCCCCCCCCTTTCTTTCTTTCTTTTCTTTTACAAAAGAATATTTTTTAGAATATTTAAAGCGTCGTAGCTACTGTTTGGTATGACATTTGTATTATACAATATTCATATTATGCTTGCAAAACACATTATCCCCACGCAGTGGTGCCGATATATCAATTTTGAGTATTTTCGGCACTCCGATAATTTTTCCCGCGGAGGGTTACAAAAATATAATTGAAACAGTTACTTCCTATTTTCAAACATCATGTTATCATGTATCATATATTTTCTATTATCATGTAGATATGACTTCCTTCATTAAATATCCTCTCATGGTCACTGAGTTTTTTCCCTCCTTCAAAACATTTTTTCTTCGTCCAGGAAAGTTGCACTTGCAGTTAACGAGAAATGATTACCATACTTAGCGTTTAGAGCTTAAGAACTGCGATCGTTTCACATAGGCTTTTCCCAGGGTCCTAATGAACATTATCATGCAATACACTGTGCGATGAGCTGCGGCACCACCGCATGCAACGCGCGGCCATGCCTTATTTCTACGCAACGAAGAGCATGACCGTTTTGATTTGCAGGGTTGCCTAAACTTCAAGGATTCAAAGGTTCAAGAACCCTCGAATCTAATGTCCTCTACGCGGACAAATCATACTCTGTGATATAGAGTCATGAGAGTAACGCATAGTACAAAGCGCCTAAGGCGCTTCGCGCCTCAGCACTGGAAAAAACGCATTGGATCTAGAGTCCAAACTCGTAAAAACATCGACAAGAAATAGTACTCTTGCTTCAATCAGAATCTAGCTTAAACCAAGAGCCAAGCCTCTTAATTTAAGCTGATTTCGTTTTGATTCAAGCAAAAATCCGATTGAATCGAGAGTATTTTTTCTTGTCAATGTTTTCAAGAGTCTGGACTCTAGAGCCAATGTGTTTTTTTTTTCCAGTGAGGGGATTGAATTGCGAAGCGGTCAGGGGGCGTTCCCCTCTGATTATACCTATATCACAGACTTCTCGGCTTACGAAAAATGGTCCTGTCATTTAGACGACGGTTTTACAACAATGGAAACACAAATTGTTGAGCGCGTAGCCAATGGATGGTGGTTGAGTGTTCAGCTATACGTTTTTTTCCCCGTGTGGATGAGATATGTTTTCTTGGTAGTATTCTCCTCTAAAATTGGGGGAAAAAATACACTCAATATCGAGAAATTCTACCCCTTTGTCACGTTATAGTTCCAATTCAACACGTGCGTGCATATATGTTAGCAGGTTGAATCATCACTGAACTTTTGTTCATATGGATCACCAAACTCTTCCGGTTCAGGTAACCAAAATTTTCGGTCAAGGAAATCGAATTTCGGTCAGCCGAAACAAAATTCGATTTTTCTGACCGAAAACTTCAGATACCCGAACCGGCATACTTTACATAGCGTTCAAAATGAACCGAACTTAATCTTCCTTCATGATGTTCCCACTCAAGTCGCTTTAATGTGGGAGAGGGGTGTGCACCGCGCTTTCGTCCTTTTGTTGTGGAGGGATGCTCTAGAGTCCCTTTTTACTGAGAGTGAAGACAATGTGAATCCATTTCTGATTGGTTCCCGTATTTTAAGCCTTCGCAGTGTCACAAACGGGAATAAAGATTACATTTTCACCCATTGCAAAGATTATAATCTGGAATGGACCAGGGAATTACGGGTTCGACAAGGAACAAACGGAATGAGAGTGGGAACGGAGAAAGGAATTTGAGAATGGGCCGATCAAAGATTACAAAAAACGTTCAATTTCTGTAATCTTTATTCCCGTTTGTGACTCCATGAGGGGGTGTTGTCTTGACTCTCAGTATAAAGGGACTCTAGTATGCTCGAGTGGTGTGAAATTTCGCAAATGGCTGCGGAGTGAAAAACCGCGGAAGTTGCGACTGGTTGATGGCGGCGCGGCTGAGCGCACCAGAAAAGAGCAGTAAATGCGTTCTGGGTTGAGCCTCGGGACCCGTAAGAGCGTGTGCTAACCGCGGCTCACACGGAACTGTACTTAAGGGTCTCTTCCGCAACGCGAGAGCACGGCGCATCCTCGTTTAAGCAGACCGCGGCGCGGCGTGGCTCCGTTATTTTGCAACGGGAGGAATGCCGACTGCCGAATGCGCTTCCTCTTGACTCCATTCACTTCCATCCACCCGCTCTTTTGGCATTAATGACGCGTGTGCTACGCTCCATGCGGGCTCACCTCAGCCTCGTGTCGGCAGCAAGAAAAACGCCGTATGAGCAGACAGCCGTTGCCAAATTTCCCTCGGTGAAATATTCTCTACGGAGATGTTGCATGTGTAAGGAATTTGCGATTTGACTGCTGATTCTTATGTGAAAGTTCGCGAAAAACACGATGGTGCTACTAGTTTTCACTTAAATCAACTCCCAAGCTCAAAAAAAGCTCTCAAGTTGAGACCAAAATGGAGGGGATATCCCACCCTACCCTGAGAGTCCACGTCTACATCAAGACAAACTCTCCATGCAAAGATAGGGAGCAAATACATTAGCAGGGTTGCCGTGTTTTCAGTTTTGGAGTCTCCAAATAAAGTGACAGCCCTGTCAATGTATTTGCTCCCTATCTTTGCATACAGAGTTTGTCTTGATGTAGACGTGGACTCTCAGTTTAGGGTGGGATATCCCCTCCATTTTTGCCTCAACTTGAGAACTTTTTTTGAGCTTGGGAATTGATTTCAGAGAAAACCAGTGGCACCATCATGTTTCTCGCGAATTTTCACATAAGAATCAACAGTCAAATCGCAAATTTCTCACACATGCAACATCTCCATTCTAATAAAATCATTTTTAAGACGCTCGATGGACAGGGTGAGGAATAAGAGTTCTAAAGGTCAGAGTTTTATTAGAGTGGGTCTTTACTGTCAGAGGTCTTTTTTTAATCATGGACAGCTATATGTGACTCAAGGTTGACCTCCAAAAAAGGAATCAAAATTCAGGGTAAGGAGAAAGTCATTAAGAATATTGTTTGGCGGGAAATGTTACTTTGAAACATCGTTTTGTTATTCAGTTGGAATTGTTTGCTTATTATCTGCCAACGGGCGATTTCGACGAGTTCGCTGGCCGCGAAGCGACTTTTGGAGGCTCGGAGCACCTCGGGGGTTGGGTCGCGTAGCGGCCAGGGGGCAGACCCCCTGGTACTTATTATAGGAAATTTTATCTCATTCTTCACCAACTAATTTCTCCTCCGCCCTGCCACATGAAGGCGGCAACAATCTGTTAAAGTCGGATTCCATTCAGTTTCTTCGGCGATTTCAGGCTTTTTAAGGTAGAGTACTCATATGTATGGAAAGAGTGCAAACGCGTCGGTAATTTTGAGGTTGCGTAATGGAACTCTTTGGGCCCAAACGAGCAGCTAACCTACGAATTCAAATTATCCAGAGTGACTTATTATCACAATTCTTCTAAGACCCGTCGTGTGTAAAGCACGAGTGTGACTTAGTATTTGCATCAATCCACTCATTTTTGCGGGAGCACGCTCATTTTTGAACATTTTTGGCCATCCTGGTTTGAAATTGGAATCTGATGATTAGTAGTGACATTTTTCGTGCTAAATGGTTGACTAATCTTTTGGGCCCTAAGAGCTCCGATGCTCTATATTTGGTCATATCCGTACTCTTCCTATATATGCACTCTAGTTTAAGCTGCTTTTGGCCATTTTTTGCTTTAATCGGTCGTGTTTTGGTGTTTTTAGTTGATGACGTTATTTTAGAACCCGTTAATGACGTCATTGGCAGCTTTGAAGACGTATTTGGGGCGCATAATCTAGGCTGCCAT